TTTATTTATTATTAAATTAAAGTATAATAGAATAATTAAAATAATATAAAAAGTTAATTTAGATTATTCTTTATTTAATTTAAAATATTATAAAAATTAGTTAAAATTTAAATAATTTTTATTAGAAGTAATTATTAATTTTATATTGATATATCAATCTTTATACTGATCTATATTTTATTATTAAGTAAAATTCAAGTAGACTTTCTATTTATATAGTTATTAAATTTGAGAAGATTTTTATAATTATTTTAAAGATAAATAAATTCAATATTATTATTCTGAATAATAGTTATAATATTAGAATTATTTACTTTAATCTTTTTTTTAAATAATAATTTTTAGCAAAATAATTTAGCTTTTTATAATTATAGTAGTTTTAATTATTATTTTTATTATAATTGCTATTATTATTATTAGACTAATAAGAATCTTTAATAATATTTAGCTTTATCAATATTATTATAAGTAAAGATATCATCTTAATTAATTATGACTTATGATAGTCAAATAGAGAATTATAACTAAGTTATGATATTATCTTTAATTATAAGTATTATTATTATAAAGAAGAAATTTTAATTTCTTTTGTATTTTTAATTTTAATTATTATTATTACTTTTAAAAAAATGATTTATTCTAAATATAATAGTATTATAAGTATTATTATTATAAAGAAGAAATTCTAATTTCTTCTGTATTTTTAATTTCAATTATTATTATTACTTTTAAAAGAATGATTTATTCTAAATATAATAATATTATAATAAATAGTAAGTTTTCAGATAATATCAAAAGTTTTTAATATATTACTTTCATCTTTATAGTAAACTTGAGATCATTAATAAAATATATAACTTGATCTAACTCTCTCATATCTTCTATTTAACTAATAAGATTTCTGAATTTGACTTTATACTTCTATATAGTATCAGTTTGATAAAGTTAATAAAGCTAATGATAAAGATATCACTATATTATATTTTTTTCTATTTATTTATTATTTAAAATTAAAAAAAATTAAATTTATTATAATTTCTTAAATAAATTATATTTATATTTATTTTATAAATAATATAATTTATATTTTTATTTATAAATAATAATATAATATTTATTTTTATTTTTTAATTATTCATATAAAATTATCTTTTTAAAATTTTTTTGTAATATAGTATATAATATGTATTTTGCTATAATTTTAATAAAAGAATTTTTATATATAATATATAATTATTTTTCAAGTAAAGATAAAAAGTTAAACATATTACAAAAGATTTTTTATTGTATTAATGAAGAAAAAAAAATAGTTTTAAGAAGATAATATTATACTTATATTGAATTATATTCAAAATAATATTGATACAAAAAGGAGGCATATTGAAGCAAATATTTTAAGAGTATTTTTGTATATGATTATTATTCTAACTTTTATTTATTTTTAAAAAAACTATTCATTATTATATTTCATGTGAACTATATTATAAAATTATTACCAAAATCATATCGATATATTGTTTATACATACAAAATGCTTACTTTGTGCAGTAGGTTTCGCGAATTCTTTTAATAGCTTATGATCTGTAAAATTGATAGTTAGTTAGTTAGTAATTAAATTGTATATAAAGAACAGCTCTCAAGGTCAGAAAGAAGATTATTATGTGACTTGAGAAAAGACAAATAATTTTTAATGCTTACCCAATATTACTTCAACTTTATTTCTTTTGTGTCTTAACAAAATTGATAGTTTTATTTCTTTTGCTTAACAAAATCAAAAGCTTTACTGCTTTGACCATGAATAGCATTTGATTCTACGTTTCATTTGATTCTTTAATTATTTGAATGATTTAATTCTTTGACATCATTATTTATTTTGGAATAACCCATTTTTATGATTTGGAATAGTTTTGATTTGAGTTTATTAGTGTACTAGTATAGTTATTTTTCGATTATTACTTATTTTTTGAATTAAATATAATTTATATACTTTACCTTTGCCCTTTTGAATTCGCTGCCTTTGATTGCACAATCTCCGTGTAGATTGGCAGTGAAACATACTCTGTGTAAAACATGCAGTCCAGCTTTCGGCCCTTGTCATGTCAACAATTCTTTAGTCCAATTAACTTCTGACAACGTAGATAGCTACTGTAGAACACTATTACATTATAACCTCACTAATAAATTATTCTTCTTTCTTTCCCCTGAGATCACTATAAAGTACTGCCTATTATATTTCAAATAATTACAGCTATAGTTTCGCTATAGTTTTGTGTTTTAGTACTATAACCTAAATCGGCGTACTACTCTATTGCCTATAGTATCATCCTTTCCTATTTTCATTAACAAAAATTGTAGAGACTGTATATATACATATTTTAAGATGTAAATCGAAAATGAAAATCAAAAATTTTTGCTTTAGCGTTAGTATTTATTCAATTATATCAAAGTTTCATTTTAGTTTAATTGGCCAAACCTAACCATCAATAGAATGTCATGGATTTATGTCACGTGATTATGCATTCCACCATTCATTTAAAACGACTTTTTTTAAGCGCGAAAATTGATATACGTATAAATGGAACAAGATCATATATTGGTAATTGTTTCATTTATTAAATTGAAAAAACAAAAGAAATTACAAAAAAAGAAAAAAGAAGTCTGTAATAAAAAAGCGATCTATCCTAAAAAAAAATGAATACGGGATTGCTTATCAGGAAAGAGAAAAATTATATTCTCAAAGTCAAAAAGCATTAACCTTAATTTTGAAATATCTAAATTATATACATATCACATACATGTACATGGCAAACTATCACTATCTTCTTACGTTAACGTTAAATTGGTGTATCATATTTAATCCATTCACTAAAGTTGGAACTTATAGAAATAGCGTTATTATTGCTGTTGTTTATACCATTCGTCGTTTCAAGACTAAATGGATTTGTGTGATTGATTGAATACTCGTCAACGGATGTTGATTGAATATCATCATTATTTTCGTGATTATCATGCTGCTGTGTTTGATAAATACGATAGTTATTGCTGTTATTGGTATTGTATAGATTCATAGAGTCTGAGGTGAATGCAAGATTCGGATCAATTTGGATCGTAGAATTAATTGATTGTGAAGCGTAACCTGGGAAAATCCAGTTGTTGGATGATGAATCGAATGATGATGCTGATGTTGATGTTGGTGTGGTGGTTTCCTGTTGCTCATAATTTTGTTGATGTAATGGTTGAGATTGTAATGAAAAAATAGTTGCAGAACTTTCTTGTTCTTGATATCGATGATGATCTTCTTGATTTTGCCTGATCATAATGTTTCGATGAAGAAGTGCAATTTGATATGCTTCGGTATATGTCATCTTACGTGTCTCTTCAGGTGCTAATAAAAATGAATCATGTGATTGGAATTCACCAGATGGTGACGGTTGCTGTTGTTGTAATAACGGAGATATTGGTGGTGAATGTAACGAAGTCTCTGATTCAGTTGTCGTAATAGGAGATAATGGATATTTCTTTGGGTAATGATTCTTACAGGATTTCGTAATCATCTGTTCATTTACAAGATATAAATCATCATTTTTAATTATCGATGATGATAATGTTGAATTTTGAGTTATTTCATTGTCTGAAATAACAATATTTCTTGTATCTATCGCATTGGAAGTTTTAACTGCAACCTCTGCAATATTACTGCTGCTATTGCTTTTAGACAATTTCTTTACAGCTCTTCTTGGCCGGTAAACGTATCCCGGATACATTTTTAAGTGCCATTCTTTTGCCATACTTTGCAAATTGGAGTAATACGCTTTTGTATTCGGCAATGCATTATCCCACAAGATCCCTGCAGCCACGGAAACTTGCGGAACTTTTAAACTTAAATTGGATAAATGTAGATGCAACGCGTGACGGAACAAGAAAAAGTTATTGGGAGGTCGCGGTGGCTCGTTTCTTTTCTTCTTGGCACTATGATTATGATTGATGTTGGCACTACTCTTGGGAATAATAGTATCATTGTTATTATTATTTTTCCCACCACCACCTGTTGACACTCTTACTGCTCGACGTGAGTTTGAAAGTATGCGTTGAATTAGTTCTGGTTGCGGGAATGGCACATCTTCGGCTGTCATTCCCTTTAAAAGGGTTTGTGTGAGTATGCTATCTTTTATTTTCGAGGTGTTATTTTTTGTCTTGGAAGCTTTTTGTTTCTGTTTTGGCGGTTTTGATAACGATGACAAAACTCTTCGCTTAATAGAATGTTGGTGTCTTGTATTGGTGGCGGTGGTATCGGAATTGGTGTTGGTGTCGACATCAGCGTTATTGTCTGTTTCGGCGGTATTCATGTCTGAAATTGTTTTTGAAAATGTCGAAAAAAAAAGATCTTGAAAGAATGGAATGATTATTGTTAGTTCAATGGACAAGAATAATTATTAAATTAAATTAAATAATAAATATCGTGGAATAAATAATTTTAAATGATGAAAATATAATTATATTATTAAATAGCGTTATTATGAAAAAAAAGACAAAAGAACTGCGACTGCATTTATATATTGAAAAATCAAGACCCCCAAACCAAAAAAGACCCTCGTTTGCTTTTATACACCAATGAACTGAACAATGCCTTAACATGGAAGAATCGGGTCCCAAACAAGGCTAATCCTCACACGATCAATCAATCACAAAACCGCGCAACCCATGAGTTCCGTCGTCCATTTCCTCACCATATTTTCCCTGTCTTCATCCATTTCTCTATCCAACCATCTATACGTATGTCTTTTTCTGCAAGATTAATCATAAGGCATATTAGCACATACAATAATCTGGCTGTTTTTCCTTTGTTCTTCTTTTCAATATAAGCGCGAATTTTATATTGTTGATTGAATTAAGGAGATGGTAAATATAATAATTAAATTATTTGGTGAAAGCTGTTTGTTCCGCCTCCTGAGCTTGGATATATCTTTTCTGTGTGAGTGATGATACTAATGTAACGAATATAACAGATATATATATTATATGTTTCTTGTTTGCGAGAAGATATTTGAAGGGTATAATGCATATATTTTTAATTCGGATTGTCATGTACATGTATTACACTACGCCTATTCCACCCAACAAAGCTTACATGACATGTGATGTCTGTTGTCATTTTTCCAATGTGATAAGCGATAATTGTGATGCAAAATTCTGCATGTGCGCACGGTTAACGAGTCAAACCTTCTCATAATTCTTGCTTAAAAAGCAAGACATGTATATATTGAGAACGAAAGAGATACAATTAAAAATTCGAGCCACATTCAAATGGTCCAAAAAAACACAATCAGGAAAAAATATAATCGTTAAATTAATAAAACAATCAAAGAAATTCATAGATTATTTTTCCTTCTTAGGTAGGACAAGGAGATGAATTTTTTGATTTCCAATAATTAATAATAATTATAAATCCATCTACTAATCAAGTGGCACAAAATTTTCTAATAATGACAGCAAGATGCCTCAGATACATGTATATACCGGTACAATATAATATACATGTATAGCTTCGTTTGTATTCCTCATTTGGAAACTTGTGTTTAACATCACAGAGGTTGAATTGCTTACAAAACTCTTACCTTTTTTGAATTTTTGTTGTTTTGTATGTTTTTTGTGTGCGTTATATCTCCATATATGTATGTTATAAATAGTAATGCGCCATGCGTAACTAAAAGCAAAAAAAAACAAAGTAACGTTTTGTTTGACGAGCGTATGATCAACCGATTGAATTTGCCCGAGTTTAGAAAATTTATTGTTGATTTAAAATGTTTTAATTCAATCCTATTGACATTTGATTATTGCTAGACTTATAGGGTAATACGTGTAGTTAGTGGAAAGAGCTAAAAAAGCAACAGAATAAGAAGTTCCCTTAAGTGCTAGCTCCAAGCGGGTAAAACGCGCAATTATTGAAATAATAAGTGTGGGATCTTTCCGATTTTGGATTCTTTAAAAAAACCATTTCATAAACAAAAATGTTTATCGCACGGAGCACGCAGAGTATGCATTTGCTCGCATATTACAATTTGGGAGAGTGAGAGCACACAATTTTGTATGACGGATAGAAATCGATCGGAAATTTTTTATTAATTGTGTACTGTATCGATTTTTTATGATCAATTTTAACTATATTTATGCATGGTGACAAATTAAAATCTACTGTAGGCAGTATTATTTTTGTAGGCTACTAGATAGTCTACAGTTTATTTAGATATTAGCATTCATTATTTAGTTTTCTGTAAGTGATCGAATTGCCTCTATGAAGAAGTCAAGTTATCAAACTAAAAGCAATAAATAATTCTATCTTGTTACCCAGTCAACGTCGATTGACATCATCACCAAGCCTCAAATTTTCTTTTTTTTTCATTGTTCAATATTCGCGTGCTTAATATAATTTGGTATTATTTACGTATGATTCCCTTATGTTGACCAATTGAATTTGCTGTTTTGTTCACTGTTCGAAATTACCATTCTTGGAGATATTATCAATCAAAAATTGATGCAAGAGAATCTCTTATCGATAAAAAACACGTAAAAGATATAATGTACAAGTGTGAATTGTTTGACCTTTTCAAATAATTTATTTTTTTCGTTTAAAATACTCAACCGCACAAAGTTTAACGATAATGACGTCAGATTACAGAAGATAAACTTTTTATTAAAAGATAAATCAGTTAAGTGAAAGCATTATTTAATTGTGAGTGTGAGAGGTTGTAAGAGTAAGTTAATGAAAAAACACAATGTAGAATATTTAACTTATGTAACATTACGTCAAGTTAAAAGATATTTAATAGGTTTTGATTATGTGGGTATGGTATGATGTTGTTCGCTCGATCTGTGAGCAGAAGTAGCTTTTTTAGTTCTTTGCAAACCTCCTGAACACCGTCATTGTCTCAGCAAGAAAACAGCTCATTCATGATTTTGAATTAGCTATAGCAGCTAAAGAGGCGGTTTTCAATGACGGAGTTTGATTTGGAAAATCGAAACAGCTTTATAAATATGAAATTTGGTTTGGTTTTAAAACTAAACTGGCGACTTTTAAAAAAACCTAAAAGAAATTATCTTAGCATTGCATTTATGAATTATTTCATAATGGCTCTACTTTTGAAAAGTCAAATTAGATGAGATTTATATATTATAACAAGAAGAATGATCATAAGAATTGTAGCTTTAAAAGGTCTGATTAGCCATCTTTTTATGATGAATTTTTATGTTAAATGATTCTGTATTTATATTACATTTGATTTTTATAACAATTAAAGCTAATTTACCATGAATTTTAAATATTGTTTCTTTTTATCAAATTTTTCAAAATATCGACAAAGATTAAGTATAAAATTTATCCACTTCATATGAAAATTTATGATCTTGTTTTGTATTTTTGCTTTTACAATAGACGTGTTATTTTCTGCTAGCCAAAAACAGATCTCGGTTATATAATCAATTTCCAAAACATTTCATCGCATCCGATTTATAAGGTCAGGATAAGGGAAATGGTAGGGTTAGAGGATAAGATGTATATTTAAATTACCGTCCCGACGTTTTAATTAGTATTCCAAGACAGATTTAAGCATTGGTTTTCTCGTAATTATATCTTGTGTTGAATTTATTTTGCCGGGTTGATCAAAAATTTGCGCACCCCCAATTTGGAAGTATATTCTTGATTAAAAATGTTTAAATCATTATCAATAGGAAGAATGATCGGGCAGTGTGTGCTTACATATAGTTAGTACAAAAAGTAAGAAAACTACAAAAAATAAAAAGCAACCAAATGAAAATTCCTTAAGCTCTAGCTCTAAACGGGTAGACGCGGATTATTAACAATAAGGGCGGGGCTTTCCGATTTTTGATGCATAGTTTTCACTTGATTCTTTTATCGATTGAGAAAACTTTTGAGTGATTTTAACACATATGTACAAGACACGTGCATATGTAAGTGTTCGCATATCGATAACTTCAAAAAGGATATGTAACTAGAATTCATCCCGTGAGCACAAACTCTATATAAATTTATATTTGCCAAATAGTGATCTTCGATAATAAGATTTTTTCGATTAGTTGGTTTAAAAATTCTTAACTATTGAATTTTATGATCACTTTAAACAAAATTGAGACACTTTTATATATGATATGACGAGAAATTCAATAATTTTTATTGAGTATCTCTGAAGATAAGTGATCGAATTTAACTTCATGTATAAGCAATAAATAACTGATGTCACCTAACTGACATTTGTAATGCATGACTGACATCAAGTCTCGAAATTTCTGGTAGATGTTTTCTAGTTTGCATCTTTGTTGTATTTATGCTAGCAATTAAACTTGCTGTTCCTTTTGTTGTTTAACTGTTTGAAATATCATTTATTTAATATTATTTACAAAAAATAAAAATTTAAGTAATGAAAGATAATGCAAAATACAACGCTTTTAAAAGTGTTGTAAACATTTTCATAATCAATTTTACAATAAATGTAAAAGAAGAATCTATCTTATATTATACTTTATATTATATTAACAATATTGACTTAGAAGAGATAGAATTACTAAAAAATTAAATTATGTATTATATGATTAGTTTTAATTACTCTTGTTAATCAAAAAAATAAATATAATATATTTTAAAATCAATTTTATTATTAGTAAACAAATTATTTATATTATAACTATTATATTTTATCTATTATAATATTAGTCATAACTATTATCCTTTGATTCTAGTTTTATAATTATAAAAATAATATCTTTAATTTTACTTTAGATATTATTCTTTACTATTTCTTTATTATTATTTTAGCTAATTACACTTAATTCGAACAATTTTATATATTTGAAAGTTATAGTAGAAATTTAAATAATTAATCATTTGTAACTTTATATAAAATAACTTATATTTTAATAATATCAGTTAATAAAACATTAAATTTTGATATTTAATTAAATTAAAAATTATTTTTTATTATATTTTGATTAATATTTTTTATTTATATAAAAAATTAATTTTAAAACTTAATTCTTTTTTAAATTTTATTATAATAATTGTATAATTATAATAGAATTTAGATTTATATAAATAATTAAATACTTTTATATATTTATTTAAAAAGTAATAAAAAATTTCTTGATATTTATAAATATTAAAATATAACTCAAATATAAATTTATATTAATATAACGTTTAATTATATATATTTTATTTAAATAAAAATATTTTAATTAAAATCTATTACTTTAATATATTTCCATTTATTTAAAAATTTTAATAAAAAGTAATTAAATTTTTTTAATTAAAAAATTTAATAAATTATTATAATAA